TCGCACAAAATACTTCCAGAAAGCGTTCCATTTAGTCTTTGCTGCGGTCTCATCGATGATGCTTCGAACATACCGTAGTCCCTGCCAAAAAAAATTAATTTTATTTTAGTAATATTTTCCGTAAGTAAAATACAAAAATTACGTACCTTGTCCAGCACTTCTTCGGCAGGAATGACAGTAAGCACGTCCAGTTTTCCCGACTTCATGGCGTCTGCGATCTGTTCCTTGGAAATCTTCAGTTCTATCATCTTCCTACGTAGAGCCTGCTTCCAGTGGAAGAGGCAGCCAACAATGTTGGCTGCAGGGAACTGCTCAATCACAGCGTTAATGAGCGCAAGCTCAAAGTCACAGGTAACATCACGAGGCTCCAGCTGGCGGTCGGACGCCATGATGAGCTGCTCTAGTACTCGCCAATACGTTTCTTGGCTTTTCGAATTGACGAGTGCGCTTCTTGCAGAAGCGGTAGTTCTTGTGCTCCATGGACAAAGTTGTCAAGTGACAATAAAAATTAAAACAGCTATGTGTTTCTGCATGATTGGTTTTCGTTAACTTTTAAAAACCTCAATCCCAAGTTCGACTCAAAATAGGTTTTAGGATATGTCCTAAATTTCCGACAAAAATACCGGTTTTTAATTTTGGACAGTATTAGGATTGCAATGTTTTTCCGGATTTAGAACCTTTTTAGGATACATTTTGCAATCTATTCCAGTAATTTACGACGTATTTTAGGATTTTGTAGGACAGTTAGGACAGGATTAGTACAGAAAATTCGACACCGCGCATTATATTATAATACATGTGCGATAGTTAGCTAAAGAGTTAATAGTAGTAATAGCAGTGACACCAGAGATACGAGCATCGCCCCACTGTCCACCGATCAGATCACATTGTAATCGATTGCTACCGGTAGTTCATCATTACACTTTTAGCCCGACGCAGCGTAATCCGATCTCCTATTCTTCACCCGAACCGAAAGAAATTCACTACGTTCAAGAGCGCACTCGTTGCTGTGTTGATCCAGGCCTCCTTCACTTACCAAGCAGCCGGCCACGGCAACATTTTCGAGCCAAACCCTCAAGGTGCCGATGAAGCCCACAGGTGGTTCTTCGGCGACCCCGCTGGAAGTTTCGACATGCCCGAATTGGTTGGCAAGTACACCTATGGAGAGTACTACAAAGGTGTGGACAGCTGGTTCACCAAGAATAACGTCGACAGTGTGAAGGACTTCTTTAAAAAGTATGTCCCAGAAGTCCCTGAGTGTGGCAACACCAAGAAGAACGGGACCCCTCAGCCATTGCCGTCTGACGGCTATGTGAAACACGACTCATTGGGTAACTCCCACCCTGGTCCGTGTGAGGTTTGGTGCGATGATATTCGTGTCTTTCATGACATGAACTGTGCTGGCAAATTTGCTGGCGAAGTGCCGACCAAAGTTCCGATTGACATGAAGACATGCAAGTCTTCTTCCGAGTTGGTGTTCTACTGGCTGGCTCTGCACGTTCAACCATGGCAAGTGTACATCAACTGCGTAACACTGGATGGGGCGGGTTCTCCCGGATCTAGCTCGAAGAACTCGACCTCGAAGGCTACGAAGGCAGCAACAGCTCCGACCTATTCATTTGACAAAACACTCGACGACGACAGCGCTGCTGATCAAAGTCAGCCTGCAGAGACTCCTATCACAACCACTGCACCGGAAACGCAAGCACCTCCAGGTACGACTGCGCCTTCAACCTCGTCGTCCAAGTGTCTCCGTCGTCGCATGTCAATCGGAATTTTAGTCGGCACTTCGCCAGCAAATTTGCCAGCGCAGTTAATGTCATGAAAGACACGGGTATCATCGCACCAAACCTCACACGGACCAGGGTGGGAGTTACCCAATGAGTCGTGTTTCACATAGCCGTCAGACGGCAGTGGCTGTGGGGTCCCGTTCTTCTTGGTGTTGCCACACTCAGGTTTTTTTGGGACATACTGTTTGACGAAGTCCTTCACACTGTCGACATTATTCTTGGTGAACCAGCTGTCCACACCTTTGTAGTACTCTCCATAGGAGTACTTGCCAACCAATTCGGGCATGGCAAAACTTCCAGCGGGGCCGCCGTAGTAAAACCTGTGGGCTTCATCAGCACCTTGGGGGTTTGGCTCGAAAATGTTGCCGTGACCGGCTGCTTGATAAGTGAAGGAGGCCTGGATCAACACAGCAACGAGTGCGTGCTTGAACATTGTGACTTTCTTTCGGTTGAAGAATAGGAGATCGACTTGTGCTGCGTCGGGAAAAAACTGCAATGAAGAGCTACCTGTAGCTCGCGATTATTAATACAATGTGATCTGATCGGTGGATAGAGGGGCGATGCTCGTATCTCGCAGCACTGGTCCTAAACAGCAGCTCTACAGAACTGTATTGTAAGCTACGTTGAGTAAAAAGAAATTTATACTTACATGTACACAGGACATGTACTGTTCGGCATTTAATGATGTATGTTTACCATGTTTGGAAATTCCAATTGAATTGATGTCAGCAGGTGGTTTAGCGGAAAACCTGGTCTTACTTCTGAGGCTCGGGTGCAGAACCCGGTGTTCATTTACCCGGTACTGTATTATAATACCATTCAGTCTGAACTGCAGACTGCATATTGTATCAATAAGTTATTAATACTGAGTTCTGCATTGTAGTGGTAACATGTTCTTCGCCAAATCTGATCAGTTTAACTACCACCTGATCATGCTCACCTAGGATTTGACCGCGAGATTATCTCGTGCACAGTACTGTACAGTACCGTACACTTTTGAAGTCTAACTGCTATAATAGCTCCATACGCCCTGCAATCTATTCGTACGACTGTAAGCAGGTTAGTTTGAAACAAAGGAAGCTACATGTACACATACAATAAAATAAGACGGTTGGTCATGCTGGACCTGGACTCGATCATTGTACACTGTACAGTAGCTGTAGCAGCTAGGACGTAAAGAACATAATATGTACTGTGAGCAAATCCGAAAAAAGTCGTTTCCCCACACAGTGAATCACACAGACTGTGACGCATATACATCATGTAAACATTATGATATTTTTGAAAGTAATAGTACTATTTTCAATTGTAAATACCAATAGTAATTCAGTTTTTTTAAAGTAAGCATAATATTCTAATATTAGCTCGGAGATTTGAAAAATATTAGATACTAGATGATACTTTATGATCTTTCCCACTTAAGTACGCTTCTTGCCTGCTAAGTGAACCGAGGGCTACCAAAGAACTCTTTCGGTCAGGTTCTAGAACAGCAGTAGGCTTTAAGACTGACGAGTATTTGCTCTAGTATTTCACTGTGACACAGACAAAGGCGATCAAGATGGAAAACTGCAAACGGTTGCAGTCGATAGAGCGAAATCAAAATATTTGCTCTTGTTCTCTACCGATAGCCTCGTCCACATCGTGCGTCTAATAAACCTGCAGCCTGTAACGCTAGATTAATGCGCTTAGCAGTGCCAACACACCACACCAACCTTGCCATCACTCTTACAAGCTGTCAGGTTGGCCAATTGTACTTCAACTGGTCACCGATCGAAAATTTTCATTGCTTTTGTGTATGTACAGAATTAAAATAATACGGTAGATTCTACTGAATAAAATTCTAGATGATTTACGCTCTTAAATTTACCATTCAGGGACAGGAACCGTAGTTTCCGACGTAGTATTTCCACGCTCTCCGGACTACAGCTTCCGGGACCTTGAAACAAACCGAGTTGCTTGTTTTCTGGCTCATTTAGCGTTTAGCGTTAAGACAGTTTTGCATCATTTAAGCAACATGCATAGTTTATCCAAGTGATCCTTTTGGTTCCTTCTCCATAGGTACTAAATAAAGCTCTTGTTGCAGATTTAGATAAACAGTAATAAGTGTTTCGATAGCGGCACTGCTATCTACCAGTCTACCAACATGGTTTTTTTATATTTGAAAAAATGACATTTTTCGTACAAAACATTAATCCGGTAACGCAAAGTCGCCTGCATGTAGTTGTGTTTGAATAGCAACAATCTATGTACTATTGACTCAGGTAACAAACCATGGGGGCCGCCCACACCGCCAATTAAATAAGATTGGTTAGGCTGTCCAGCCAGCTAAAGCTGCCCTCCCAGTAAAATTCGAATGTCTATGGCCACATCCTCCACTTCATGAAAGCCGTATCTGTGTCTGTGATAGAGAGACACGACTGTTCTTGGACTCCAGGTCTTGAGCTCCAAGTTGGAGAAGGACAAGCTGTTGCTGTTGATCATCGATTTATTGATAATGGGGTTGATACCGTGACGCTTCAACCCTTAGCCCTTTTAACGCTCCAATCGGATGCCGTGACGCCACAGCCCATGATGATATGGGTTCCTTAAGGGGTAAACTATGATGCCGTGACGCTACTGTACGTTGACATGTCAGTTTCTATGTAGCGTAAATGTAGATTTTCAACATGTGTTGCCCTTCAGTCTTCAGGCTCGGATTCGGGGTCGAAACAAATACGAAAGTGTTTCCCTCACATTCCCCTGTTGTCCCCTGTTTGGTCTTTTAACAGTGCTATAAGACTTTTAGCTGAAAATGCCTTTTTTTAATAATACAAAATAAATATGTTTTCTCCAGGCGTGTTCTGAATCACTGATTCGCCCATGATTTCATGAGCCGATCAGAAGCGAATGTCTGAGTGAAATCTGACAGTGGTTTTGCAAACGTGGTACCACCGCTGTCGCCAACAGCGTCGGACCCACTCGCTCATTTTTCAACTCGCCACGTGCACCATAATCAGCCCAAGGACTCAAAGTGTACTCGACGTTTCTTACAGTCCAACGAGTCTAATGCGAAGTTCCCTTCTTCTCCTCGCTATTGCCTTCGTTGTCTAAACGAGCAGCAATGATTTCTCGGAAAGTGCACGTCGTCCCCAGCTCGAAGTGTCAAAGCCAGTTGTGGACCAAGCCGCCGAGTTGAGCATCGACGGCCAGCGTTTTCCACGAACGCAGACGATGAAGAACGTGGAATGACGGAGCTTATGGCGAAGCTGAAGGCATGGTTTCAAAATTTTAAGTCATCGTTGACCAAGACGAAATCGGGTCAGGCGATGCGGACGAGGTATCAATTTGGCTGACAAGGTGTCAAAAAGGTCCAGGCTTTGACGTACAAGAGTGGATTGAAGAAAGCGGAATACCTGATCAAGAAGGGCACCGCCACGGATGTTCCGTGCAAGATTAGTCCTGAGGCGTACTTCGACGCACTGAAGCTGGACCCGAAGCTCAAAAATATCGTGGATTCGTCGGCTGCAAGACAGAACAACCCTGGCTTGAAGAAGTTTTACACGTACTCCAACTTCTGGACTGCTTCGCAAAGGCGAAAGATCAGGTCAACAAGGTACATACGGTAATATCATTTACGACGACAGAACAAGTTCAGTCCTGAATCGTACATTGAGGCGCTGAAGTTGGACCCGAAGCTCAAACTAATTGCGCATTCGAAGGTCGCGAGAAAGAACAACCCTACCTTGGAGAAGTTTTTCACGTATGCTACCAAGACCAGCTCGAAAATTAGACTAAACAGTGGTAATAACAATCTGAGCTACTTTGTTCAGTTTTGAATTTACAAAAGGATGCATTCATTGGATGGATTCCTCTCAAAAGCAATCAAATAAGCATTCTGGATTTGATATCCAGTCTCAAGGTATAATCCATTTATTAAAGCAACCTAAACTTAACTCGAAATGGATACTTCACGGAAAAGATATAAATTTAGCTCCTGTAAAAGATTATTCGATACTTTCGCGTAACATCCTTGGATTATCCGATATTTGATGTCCGATAAGGAGATCTACATGTATTAAAAGTCGACGATATTGGTATAGAAATAGCCCTTCTCGGTGTGCTCGACTTCGTACTATCGACTCTAACAACTGACCGGCAAGTCTGACTTTTCCTTTTTTGACAAACTTTTTAGCAAAACCGCATATTGAATTGTATTTAAGGTTTATTCCACGTCTGGAAATTAGTACCGACATGGAAGTACTAGCAATTCCGCTTATACGAGGAGAAAGATGAAATACAAACGTGCCCAGACTTTCTTGGCAACCGCAGTAGGTTAGCTCACTGAGAATTTGCAGTTGTGAAGAAGCTGGAAAGAATCTCGCCGATGGATTGAAAATGACCATCCCTTCCAAATAACAATACCCTTATATAATAAATCAGCAAAGTATAGAGGTAACATTCTAATCAGTAAATAACTCGGCAACAACGCTATTGTATTAGCAACGTATATCAGACACCAATTTTCTCCTGCCCTGCAGCAGTACTACATTTCCTCGGGGAATACTATTATTGTATTTCCGTTAAGCAATACCACTCTCTAGTTTTCGATAGCTGATGCTCCCTTCGCGCAACATTCAGGCTTACTCATGTGTACTATTGGTTAATATATTCCTGTACCAAGCAGAAGTGGACTGCTCGACAGGCATAAGCTTATCGGGGTTTTATTAAGTTGAAATGTTGAGTCACTTGACATTTGCGTTAAGCCTCTCTGTCTTGATCTTTCTCACAACTAATAATTTACCAGGCTTTAATTAACGAAAAAGCACTAATCCTTTGGAATAAATTTTATCGAATTTATCAAGGCACTTAATGTACTTACTCAGTCATGTCAGTTATACTTTTGTTTATGTGGTAGCAGCAGAAAGCTCGTCGCGAAGCTCGTGCACCTTAACACACCCCATAAACAATACTCCGGATTGACTTCACCATGACATCACACCACGCCATGATATTTGCTGCCATCTCTTGCTGTACATCCTCCCGAACAGCGAATTGGGGTCATTGAATCTTCAAGAAAGCTGAGCCTCTCATCGTCACGACGAGTTCTCCTTCCTCTCCGTTTAGTGTTGGCTTTCTCCGTGCCGTAAAGACAGCAGTAGCAGATAAATCCTTCCGCACTAGTTTGGCTGAGTTGTACGGATAGAGTCCGTCCTCGTCGATAGAATCGAGAACTACGATTCCGTATTCCCCGTCTGGATCCATCTTCGGAAACAGCAGCGAGCTAGTTTCCATCGTGACTGTGTCGTGAGCTGTCGACAACACTCGAGCGTTGTACACGATGCCATCAATCGTCTCGTAGTCGTCTCTGACCGTGACGTATCCGAGCCGCTCCGTTATGCTGACCTCCATATTCGTGAGGTAGTACAAAGCCACATCATAGACTTGCTGGAGTGATTTGACTCCAGGGAACTGTACAGTTTTGAAGCGTATGCCGCAGAAGTCGCCTTCTGGAGACTCGAAAAGCTCGTCTGAAATAGTCGTCTTGTCACTGCCAACGATTCGTTTGAGATCCATGACGAAATTGTACGCGTTGCGAAGTTTTTCTTCTCGGATCGACACGAGTTTCGCCCGGCGTTTGTTCCAGTCTTTGGGCAAGCAAATGTAAGTGTAGAGTGGGTGTGACTGCTGCGATCTCTACAGGAACGAGCAACAGTAGTAGACTGCGATCTACGGACCAAAGAGTAAGTAGCAGTAGCGCACTTACTAGGTACTGGCTCATGGCAGACTGCATCTTAGCAATCTGAAGATGTTGGGCTCGAATACTTTCGCTCAGTGTTGTATTTTCTGCTTGAGTCTGCTTCAGACTATCGTCCACTCCGGACTCTTGCTCGGACCGAAGTTTTAGCACAATCACTTGTGACTTGAGTTTGCGCACCTCCTCGCGGAGTTCATTATAAAAGAAACGATGAAATCCCACGATAACTCACGCATCACGTACCCGCCGAGCAGCGTACGTGCCCTTGCAGCGTTTGGTCTTCTCGTCAAGCGCCATGCCCCGCTCTATTTACTGTCTGAGACCTAGCTGATCCTCCATTTTAGCGGGCTCCTATTGGTCAAGCCGTTTTATGAATTATTCCATAACTCACTATCATAGTCGGTACAGTATATGGACAGGGCTAATGCAAACCAAAGATCAAATGATATTTTTGACAATTTTCGAAATTAAATATTAATAGTAGCTCAGTTTTTCAAAAGTAAGCATAACATTTAAATATTGCTTTAGATATTCAAAAAAACTACAAGTAACCGTAGTAGATAACTTGATAATACTGTATGTTTATATATTCCCACTTAAGTACGATTCTTGCTTCCTTACCCTCTCCTCTGTGAACCGAGGGTTCCCTAAAGAACTCTTTTGGTCAAGCTCTAAAGCAGCAGTAGTGACGGCAGGCTTTAATACTGACGAGTATTTGCTCTAGAATTTCACTGTTGACACAGACGAGACGGAAAACTGCAAACAGGTGCAGCTGCTATATGTTTGTAGCTGCTGGTAAGGTCAAAACTGAATGCTGCATGGCTTGTTTGCTTAGTCTTGGGTCCTATCCTTTCAACTAAAGAATTCTCTCTTCTTTCCTGAGATTCTCCTTATCCTCTTTCGTGTACTCGACGAGGAAAAGTCTTTGGTCGACTAACATCAGTTAGGTACCCATTATAAAATAATATTATCCCCCATGTTAGTTGCTCGGAAGGGTTTGATTCGGCGTAAACGCACCACCTTATAGTAGTATTACTTGTCGATGAGCATTGTGTCATTATCACGGACGCTTAGTACTCGAGCCTCAAACAGAGGTTGTAACTTTGGAGCTCCCTGGTCGTGTTTAGCAACCATTACTATCTCATCCGGATTGTAGTCTTAGTCAATGCGATTGTAACAAGTCTTGTAGCGCCTGCTTGACGGCATGTCGTATAGCTGGTGCCGTGCTGCGTTTGTGGCCCAGGTCCGTACGATACCGACTAGTAATAACGCCTGTTGGCTCGGTCACCCGCGCCGGGACGTCTGTCCCTATTGATTAATATCAACCCTATAAAACCGTACGCTCGTTTGATCCGTAGTCGCCGCCCTTGGTGTACACAAACACTCACACGACCACCGATCCAACTCGTTGTACGGACTCGACTCGCTGCTCCGCTGCTGAACGCAACAGAGGCTTTTCGCTTCCGTCTCCTTGGAGACTCTCAACCACCTCGGCCGTCCGTGCAACTGTCCTGCGCCGTCTCTAGAACCCGCACGTCACACTGCACAACATCGCGAGCCACTGTTGCTCACGAAAATGCTTCTAGTGCCTCGAACCGCCTAGAACCCAGCGCCCTGGATTACTCGTCCGCCTCAGTAGCACTCGACAGTACTGCCACTGCCCTTCAGTGCCACACTACTCGCTTACTCGTCCGTCTACTCGTGCCAGTCTTGGCCGACGTCTCGCACTTAGTGCCGCACTCTGTCGTACGGCTCTGTCGCGTCGCTGGTGTCTCCCGTGCACCCGCGATCTCCAAACTGGTTGTGCTCGACACCACCAATTCCGAACTGAGCTCTTCCTCTCTTGGCGCCGCCGGTCTTCGTTTTGGCCGCACGCCACACAGCTCGCACGATCCTGGTGCCGCCAATCTTTGTTTGGCCGCACACCAGTCCGCAGCTGCTCACCCACCTCACTTCGTCCTACACTTCGGCACTCTGGACGTACTCATCGGCCTTCGAGCCGTCCGCGAGCGATTCACCGACTATAACCCTTTGGTTATCGCGACTCTTCGCACTCCATCCAGGTTCGCCGACTTCGCCTCGCCCTTCTTCAACTTGGTCCCGTCCCACAAAGGTTCCACAGGCTTGCTGGATCCGCACTGCGTCACCATCACAGGCCCATCGCTTACTCCGGTCCACTGCCCTGTTACACGATGTTCATTTTCGCGTGTGTTAGCTTGATGTGTACGTTGATCTTGCCAATATACATTCGTTGGGAGATCAAACAGCATATCTCGTCCAAACACGACTTGTCCAGGCGTAAGTGTTACCTAGTGTGATGTTGGGCCCGGAGAGCAAACATCACTGCTGATAAACAGTTTTTCCAATCACTATTGATTCTGAGCGTAGCCTGTCATTTATTGAGCGGTGCACTCTTTATACCACTCCACTTGCTTGAGGATTTTTTGCTGTAGTACTTGCTCGCTGTACACCGTAGCTTTGAAGTAGCTCTCGGAACTCTCCACGAAATTCAACACCTTGGTCACAAATACATCTTTCAGGTCGCGGGTATCTATTGAGTCAGTATTGATCCACAATTCGAGCTGCTTCGGCACTTGTACAGTCAGTCATTGCTGCAGTTTCCACGAGTCTAATACTAGTATCAATAATCGTCATGGCTCGCCAATGATTTTGTTCAAATGGTCCTATACAATCCACTGCGATTTCTGTCCATGGTCCTCTCTCTACTGTTGTTGTCGGTAATTTCCCGTATTTGTTCTTGTTTGTCTTATTTCGTGCGTATTGAGGACAATTGCAGACCCAATTGCTCACATCCACAGTCATATCGGGCCAGGACGATGCACTTCGTATTGAACTCAACAATAGTTTTTCGCCAGGATGCACTAGCCAATCGTGGTAGGTTTGCAAGAACCTCACCACTAGCTGTACTGGTAGAATAACTGTCCCGTTCACCCTGCTGACTAGCACTTTTGTGCAGCCAATCGCACGCCACTGAGCTGATGAGCCTGCTTCAAGGCCAGCTTTCTCTTGCGCTTTCGCGACATCTACGAGTGAGAGAGAAAATAGTTGGGAGTTGTTAGCCTCTGTGTCCTCTTCGCAGGCAGTACCTGCTGCTTCATTCACGGGTAATCGTGACAATGCATCAGCTACCACGTTATCTTATCCTTTGACAAACTTCATCACTACACCTTATTCGTCAGCTTCGAGTCTCCATCGGAGCATTTGTACTTTGCAGAATGTCATTTCCAAGGAGTATTTGTGATCCGTGTGGACGCAAATTGGACACTCTCACAATATTGAGCTAAATTCTCGCAGCTTTTCTAAAATACCCAATAGCTCCTTCTTGTTGCTGGTATATTTCTGCTGAGCTTGCTTGCATTTGTTTTACCAAAAGGCAAGTGGCCGAATTTTCCGCATTATCACCCCACCTAACTGATGAGCAGATGCGTCGTGTACAGCTAGACCGGCTGCGTATAGTCTGGATAGGCTAGTAGCGCTCTTGTCTTTCACTTTGTCGAAAGTTTGTTGTTACTTGGCTGTCCCCTGAAAGGGTCGCTTGATAGACGTTAGCGCTGTAAGCGGAGCTAGTGTTTCTGACCTTCCTCTCTACATATCCGTGTGATAGTTAGCCGGCCAACAAACCGACGGAGATCTCGTATGCTCCTCGGTCGGTCAATGCTCAAAATATCAGCCTTTTTTCGAAGAGGCTCTTTTCCTTGTGCGCTTTGAAATCCGAGATACCACCACTTCAGTCATACAAAAATGGCTTTTTTTCTGGATGAACCACAACTCCAGCTTCATGCAGTCTTTGTAGAACGTTTTTTATAATGTTGCAAATGCTAACCAAAGGAGTTTGATAACACTATAACATCATCAAAAACACTCTTACGAAGAGTAAATCCCCCAATAATTGTTGCATTACTGCATGGAACTCGTCTGGTGCTGTATTAATCCCCATTGGGAGACGACAGTATCTGTACTTTCCCCATGGAAGAACAACTGCCGTGGACTGTCGACTAACTTCTGCCAGCTCACGGGAATAGTACCCCATATCTAGCTCGAGCGCGTTTACAAATGCTGGCTTTGGTAGCTCACGCATCAAGTCTTGGATACAAAGCAGAGGATAGTAATGTCTCTGTAGGCAACGATTTAGCCCACGGAAGTCGGTGAGAAATCTAATTGGTCCATCCGTTTTTGGAATCACAAAGGCCGGTGCTGACCAGGGCGGGTCTTTGTCGAATTTCAGCACCCCCAATTTCGCTAGTCGCTCGACCTCCATCAGCGTCGCCTGGTATATCAACGGTACGGCATAGGGGCGCTGTGCATGTGACGCACTTCCCGATTTAATCGGTAATTCGTATGGCTTTAACTTCATTTTTCCAAGTCCTCCAAAACATACTACCCGATGTGTCCGCAATTTATCCCAAAGAAGTTTTTATCGTCTGTTAAATTTGGATTGGAAATCAGTTTTTTCAAGTCAATTTCTTTTCATTGTCTGCTTAAGGGATACTTCAGTGCCACAGTTGTTTTTAAATCCCTTCCCAGATCATTTTTCCATTTGCATCTCCGACCGCCGCTGCATAATCATCCGGGGAAGCTGGAGCATGCCTGAGGTACAAGGGGTCTTGTTCTCCCGGATTTGACTCCTTTACTGGGGCGGCTGCAGCGGAAGGGTGTAGTGGGCCACACCATTACATAAGTAGGTAGATTTATATTACAAAAGTAGGTGCAGCAGCACACGGCTAGCGTGTGCTGAACTGCCGTCATCCAATTGGTTGATATATGGGGAGCCAGACCCATTATCAGCCAATAAGGGGTTGACGTGTATTTGAGGGGTCAGGGCAAGCTGCCCTGGACCTAAATAAAAACAGAGTTGATTTTTCTTCAGACTAAGCACTTGGTTTCACTATCGTGGAATTTGTACGCTTCCTCATTGTTACGTGTAAGCTAGTAACGGACACTCTAGGCCCGTTACACCTGGTAGCACTTAGTAGTCCTTCCCATGACCAAGTTCACAATGAGCCAAGGCCAGACGTCTGAATTTTCAGGGTCAACCCTGGAGCATGCTGCTTTCGCTCATCTCACTCGTGTCGAGTGGGAAGCCTTTCACCGCCTTGCGGCGGTGTCCGGTGAGGCTGTTGTCGCCTAGCGACTCCCGATCAACAACGTCAAGCAGTTCAAGAGTTCATGGAACGCGAGCTCGCCGACGCAAATCGGCGAGCGACAACTCCCTCGCGTTCCTCGAAGAATGACATCGTCAAGTTGGAGAGGTCAACCTACTCCGGTGAAGGAGCGAATCGCCTTCCGTTGAATCGCTGGTTCCGCGAAATCGACATCGCTATCGCCTCGAGGATGATCGAGGCGCAAGGAGCGAAAGTTAACTTCTTACTTTCCCGACTGGCAGGGAAAGCCAAGGGGTGGGCGCTCGGCAAACCGGTCGTCAACAACGATGCGTTCTCCACCCTGGAGGCCCTCCAGAGTGATCTTCGTCTCTCCTTCGAGCCTCCACAAGACGAGTCCCGAGTGCGCGCAGAGTTCTTCGCTCTGTGACAAGGCAAGATGACCATGCGCGACTACGTCCAGAAGACACGCCACCTCGCGTCCTGCATCGTCACCAATCCGATTGATATGGCATCTCAAGTCCACGTCTTCGTGTTCGGCATGCGTGAACGCATGACGCGATACTGTCTGACTCGAGCGGAGCCCTCCTCTCTCGAGGAGGCATTTGCTCTCGCACTCCGTGAAGACTACGTGGTGGCGGCGTCGTACGCGCGGGCAATGTCCGCGGAAGCTCAAGAGTCAGCTCCGGAGCCGATGGAGATCGACGCGATTGAAGCGTCGAGCAGCCGCCGTCGTGCAGCCCCTCGTGCAAATGGTGGTCGTCCCAGTCGATCCCTTACTTGCTTCCGCTGTCGGAAGGTTGGACATCGCGCGGCTGAGTGCCGTGCGCCCGCGCCAGTGCTCGCGCATACTGTTGATGCCTCTCCTACCGTTCAGCCAAAAAACGGTCAGGGCCAGTAGGTGCGGGGCGCTCTACTGGCTGGAATGGAGGTCCGGGTCCCCCGGTGGCAACCCAACCTTCTAGCCCTCGTGTGCTACACGCACACTTCAATGCCACCACAGCGTCGGGCGACTCAAGACTGATCATCATCAGCCTCCATGTCGCCGGCGCCCGACGTCCACTACGCGCGCTTGTGGACTCAGGAGCGACAAACAACTACTACCGTGAGTCGTGTTTGTCGACGCTACCCAGCGAAATCTCTGCCCGCAACGGTCGCGGACAGGTTGTAGTCAAGCTTGCTGACGGCAAGCCGCGCCACGTCGCGCGGCGCGAGATCACGTTGCCGTACACGTTCGACGGCTTTCGCAGCAATGACGACTTCCTCGTGATTGAGATGAACTACGCATTTGATTGCATCCTGGGCATCCCGTGGTTGTCACGGTATCAAATAGAGATTGACTGGTTGGCCCGCACGGTTAAACTCCGCAGCGGTTTCGACGTGAGCGAGGTGTTCACCCATCTCCTTGTTGCCGAGAAGGACTGGTCCCACGTCACCGTCGTGGGCCGGTCGTCCACGACGCAGGCTGTACACAGAGTGAGCGATGGCCCTCTCTGCACGGCTTGCGCGGTGCAGTTGCACGAAGACTCCTCGCCGCGAGGCGAGGCCAAGAACACGATGGCGGTCGAGCAGAGGCTCCCGCAATACGAGCAAGCGGTCGAGCATGGGTTCCCGCAGCGCACAACCGTGGTCGAGCATGGGTTCCCGCGGCGCACCACAGCAGACGAGCATGAGTTCCCGCAGCACAATATGGCGGTCGAGCATGGGTTCCCGCAATGCAACACGGCGGTCGAGCAGTCGAGGCTCCCGTCACCCGAGCCGGTGGTCGAGCAGTTGGATCTCCCGTTGAATGATCACGCGGTCGAGCAGTGGCCCCCGCGTGTGACCGGCACAGTCGAGAATGAGCTCCAGTGCCTAGAGCGGGGTGATACATCGTCCAGCGAGAGCGATTCTTCCTTCTCGAGTACACACTCGAGGCGCCGGGTAAAGAAGTCAAAGCGCCGTCGTTTGAAGCCACGACGTGAAGCTGCACCAAGCGGCACCTCACAGACGGGGTCGGTCTGTGTCATTGAGCACGTGGACGACGGCATGGGCCGTCAGCGCACCGTCGATCTTGCGTGTCCACCTCGAGACGCTCAATCGATCACCCGGCTTCCAGGT